GCTTTCGTATTGCTAGAATTGCTAGGTTGTTAGTAATTATGGAATTGATGAGTTGATATATAGGTTGGTTGTTTGTATTGGTTATTGGAATTGGTTAGTGATTCAATAAGTATAGGATTATTGAACGGTTTAAATTGGTTTAATTGATTATTTTGATTTCCGATGGTACTGCTTGGTTTATTGTTTCTGCATGTTGTGATTTGACCGTTGAGGATTATTATTTGTGWTAATAATAATCCGAATTGAAATTTTTTAAAAATTTGAGGGTCGGGTTGTTTAACTACTTATTCGAATTTATCGTTGCATGTGCTTGGTTGTAGTGTACTTTGCGGTTAGATCACTCATTACGTCTACACGGACCACATTTTTATCTTCTCCATATTCCTCATTTACATTTTCTCAATTTGATTTAGTTTGTTTCTTCTCTACATGGTTTAATTTGTTTGTTAGAATCTATTTAAATACAATTAAAGATTGGGAAATTTGCTAAATTGACTTAGTTTGAAATTTGGAATGTCTCAATAACCTTTATACACATATCTTTTTGTCCAAATAACCTTTGATATTTTCATAACCCAATTTTAACCTTCAATATTAGTAAAAATGATTTTTTAAAAATATTTTCAGAATTTTTCAAAAAATCAGAATATTCATTTTTTTACGGTTTCCTTTTTTAACATACAAAAAAATATCAAACTAAATATCAAAAAATGTTTGACAAAAAAACGTCAAAATTTTCTTTCACGAAAAGAATAAAATCAGGAAGGAGAATAATATATTTAGGAAATATTTATCAAATATTACGTTTTTGGAAAGAAAATAACTCATAATTTAATAGTCATAGATTTAAGGATTAAAACTAACTTTGGTAGAATATCTTTTCTACCATTTGGTAGAAGATAGAGAAAGCGGTAGATCAAAGGGGTAGAATATGTATTCTGCATATCGTAGAAGACAGAGTCATTGGTAGAAATAGTATTATGTGGTTGGTAGTACTGAAGCAAAATGGTTGACTGTGCAATGTGCGATATGTAGAACTTGAACAATTAGTAGAATACTTCCTTCTACCACTCGTATCTTTATACAAATTCGCAGAACACCAAATCTACTAGTAGATTCGACCATGGTAGAAGAAAAAATAAATAATTTTTTGTCATAGTTTTTTTTGAAAAACAATATAAACATGAATTTATATGCCTTCTACATTACTTTTTTGTATTTTCTTGATTTTATAAAATTATATAAACCATTTATTTGTAGTTTTCAATATTAATCAAAGGATAATGTAGGAAAAATTTGGCACAAAAAGGCAAAGGTTATTGGGACAAAACTAATTTCAATGTGAGTCAATTTAGCAAAATTCCTTTAAAGATTTCTATATCTCCTTTACGACGACTGAGCATACTCCAAGTGTTGATGTAGCATATTCACAGAAGCCTACATCACGAGAAGTGTCAAAGTGGAGCTTGAACCGACTTAGACATCAAACCCTAAAAAAGAAAAGGCAACGTGAAGTGTTAATAAGGAAAAAAGAAGACTTTGAGAAACAAAAAGGAAATTAAACAGAAAACGAAAAGTGTTACTAACTAAAAGGAAATTGTTAGTATCATAGGATTGGAAAAGCATTGACATCTATGTGTATAAATAGATGTCGATGGTAGCTTTAGTGATTAAGCGTTGAGAGAGATATCATTCTAAAGAAAAAAGGGTGAGAGTTCTTTATAAGGAGTTTTGAGAGAGATTATTCATAGAGATACTTGTAAGTTCTCTATTTAGGTTTCTTGTAAGTTACTTTAAAGAAGATAATCTAATTGAAGTGTGTTTGAAAAAGAAACTCTATTGCTATTGTTTTATGTCGCTTCAAAAAAACTCTATTGTTCCTACACTTTCACCAATTACAAGTGCACTCCAATGATCTGACCTCGTATCCAAATATTCGAATTTACTAACGGCACAAAAGTATGACGAAGAGAAGGCATATGACTAACTATATGCTTCTAGACAATGAAAAACATCACATATATATGGGTTTTGTATAGAAACCCATTGAAACGATGAATTTCTCTTTGGTGTAGGAATGAACAGTTGGTCGTGGCCGCTTTTTTTATGGATCTTTGTGTATCTTAGAAGTGTGTGCATGGTGTGGCTAGATACTGGTAATCAATTCTACATCAGTAAATAGCTCGAATGGAAAAAAAAACTTTGTGTCTTTGAACCCTAACATCTTTTGTTGCGAAATGATAAAAAGTCATATCTTAACGTAACCGTAGGCATGTAATACATCTACAAAGCAAACTGATAATTCTACATTTAGAGTTCTTTTGAATTTATGTGGATTTAAAAGCAAATGTCAATTGTGGATC